CTCAATAAACCCCCAGGACCCCCCTGACCCCTCAATAAACCCCCCAGGACCCCCCTGACCCGTCAATAAACCCCCCAGGACCCCCATTCCTGCCTCTGCCTGGGACGGTGCAGGGGATGGGGACACTGGGTGCTGGGACCCCCAAAGAGTGCTGGGACCCCCCAGTGGGTGCTGGGACCCCCCAGTGGGTGTTGGGACCCCACAGTGACGTCTGGGACCCCACGGTGACCACTGGGTCCCCACAGGGACTGCTGGGACCCCCCAGTGGATTTTGGGACCCCACAGGGACAGCAGGGACCCCACAATGATTGCTGTCACCCCACAGTGACCGCTGTCACCCTCTGCAGGTGGTGGCACTGCCCCGGACACTGGGACCCCCCCCCAGGTCCTGGGACCCCCTGTGGGCACTTGGGGGGATGGGCAGGGGTCCGTGGCTGGGGGAGGACACGGGGACATCCCCAAGGGCCCCTGGCAGCGTCCTGCCCTGCCTGGGGTGACACGGGGACGCTGGGGGGACATGTGGGGATGGGCTGTGTGCACATGGGATGGCACACGTGTCCTTAGCGTGTTTGTGTGTCACTGCACATGTCCCTGTGTCACTTCATATGTCCCCAGCATGTCCCTGTCACTGCACACATTGTTGGCATGTGTCCTTAGTGTGTCCGTGTGTCACTGCACATGTCCCCAGCGTGTCCATGTCACTCCATGTGTCATTGGCATGTCCATATGTCTGCATGTGTCCTTAGCACATCCGTGTGTCACTGCATGTGTCCTTGGCATGTCCGTGTGTCACTGCACATGTCCCTAGTGTGTCCATGTGTCACTGCAGTGCCCATAGTGTGTCCATGTCACTGCACACATCATTGGCGCGTCCGTGTGTCACCGCACCGCACACCCCCAACGTGCTGTGTGTCACTGCACGTGTCCTTAGCGTGTCCATGTGCCCATACGTGTCCCCAGCATGTCACTGCTGTGTCCGCGTCACCTCACACATGTCCCCAGCGTGGCCGTGTGTCCCCAGCGTGTCTGCACAAGAACCCCGTGGGAGTCCTGAGCCCCCCAGGCCGTCCCCAGCACACGCCGTGTCCTCGGGACGCCCCCCACCCGTGCGTGTGTCCCCCCGTGTCCCCGGTGCCGCACCGCTGGCGTGCCCGTGGCGTGGCGGCCGGGGCCGGCGCGTTGGGCGTGCCGGGCCGTGCCCGTGCCCCGGCGTGTCCCGGCGTGTCCCGGCGTGTCCCGGCGTGTCCCGGCGCGTCGCGGCGTGTCCCGGCGCGCTGGGGCCGGGCCCCGCCGCCGCTGCAGCCCCGCGCGGGCCGTGACGTGTCCCCGCGGGTGACGCTGCGGCTCCGGCAGGAAGCGAGCGGGGCGGCGCAGGCCGGGGGCCGAGCGGGGTCCCGGGGCCGGGGGGTGCCATGGGGGCCCCCCGGGAGCGGCGCGAGGTTCTGGCCGCCATCCGGGCCGAGGTGGCCCGGCACGAGGGGGCCAAGGGCCACCTGAACCGGCTGGTGCGGCTGGTGGAGACCGTGCAGGAGCCGCAGCTGCGCCGGAGCTTGAGCAGCGCCCTCAGGGCCCTCCGAGGTACCGGGGGACACCGGGGCTGGGGGACGGGGGGGGGACACTGAGGGGACTGACACTGGTGTCCCCCCAGCCCCACACTGGTTCTGGCCTCTGCTGGTCCTGTCCCAGCTCAGGGGGTCCCTGCCCCCCTTCCAGCAGTGCCCCCAGGTGCTGCAGTGGGGGTCTGGCAGTGCCAGCCCCCGTGGGGACCCCTTTGAGGGGAACGGGGGGTGCAGGCCCCGCTGGGGGTGGGTCCCCCCCCCGTTTCCGTGCCGGGGCCCCGGGGTGGTTTCCGGTCCCGGCGCTGTGGGAACGGAGCCACTTCCTCCCTGTGTCTGCGGGGGGGGCCCGCCTGGGGGGGGTTGGGGGGATTGGTGGGGTTGGG